AGAGTTTTGGTACTCTTGTAGTTTTAAGTGGTGACCCATAGGGGGGTTACCGTACAGGTCAAACACTGCACTTGTTTCATTGCAAACTCTAATGAAAAGACACGCAGAACATCAAGATTCATGCATTCATGGAGGGACATGAGCATAGACTGAGATGCACTAAAAGTGATTATACAATGAGTTGTAAAAAAACAAAGAATAAATCTATATTATTATTAAATAATACACAACATATTTAAAAGATTTATATTTTTTAAAAGTTGTATTTGACTGGATTCAAGCACTAAAGAGTTAGCAAACTCCGGAGGGGGCAAGAAGGAATAACCTTTTCCTTCCTCAATTAGCCCAATTAATCCAAATCAAACTAGCCAATCACCGCGCCAATCAATCAGCGAAACAAACCCGATTTTTCTTGGAGATTTATTTATTTTCCTGTGGATTTTCCGCTCTCTCCTGAAGCAGCGGCGGCAGCAGCAGCTCGGCTCAGTGGTGTTAAACGAGACTGTAAGCTAGGTGGCCGCACGATCACATTTATCGCGCCGAAGCTGTGCCAGACGCACATGGGATCCGTCCTGCTTACCGGGGGATCTTCAGCACCGGCAGCCGAGCGGAGGGCACCGTCAGCCCGGTCAGGAGGAGCGCTCAGCCTGCCTGGACTCTTCCGCTGACGCAAAACAAACGCACAGACACACACACACAAACACACACACGCAGAACAAACACTACACATTTCGGAGGTGATATTCTTCCTTCCTGAGACACAAAGTGTTATTTATTTATATCGTATGCGAGCCTGACAGTCAGCCGCGGCGGACAAACTGCGTGTTAGCGCGGGGAGGTCGGACTTGTTTGGCAGGGGAAACACTGAAACACACGCGAAAAGACTCCCGTTCTGTCGCCCCCCTTCTTTTATTTCCTGTCAGTTTTTTTTCTTCTTCTTGCGATTTATTTCCTGCTGCCAAAACCAGGAACCCGGGACTGAACCCTTACTCCGAGGATGAAAGAAAACTAGATTTGCGATCGAGGCTTTGAGGTTGTTTTACTGGATTTATTTCGCTGTGGAGGAAAAGCGATCCGGGAGCGGAGCGGTGCGCAAAAAAGCCGAGGTCTTCCTCCTCTCTTCTCTCCGTCCTTTCTATCTCTCCATCTATCAATCTGTCTACCCATCCTCTTCTATCTATCTGTCTCTCCATTTGTTTCCATGTTTTAGGTCCGTGCGATTTTGCTAAAATGCATCATCAACAGCGGATGGCAGCTTTGGGAACAGACAAGGAACTGAGTGACTTACTGGATTTCAGCGCGGTAAGGAAATCCACCTTCTTCTCTTATCGCTAATATGAATAAAATGACAGGTATCATGTGAGAGCAAGCCGTAGAGGAGAATAAAAGCGTTCTGTAGGCTTTACATCCACCACTGTTTACATTTTTAATGTATGAGTTGCACGGCACATAGCCCAGCCTGCATATTTTAGCCTTCACTCAGTCTTTTAACTATTTGCACAAAAAGTTGTGTGTTTATGTAGAGTAACTTGCAGAAAGTCAGTGCATATTGTTGGTTTTGTGTTGTTTAATTTTTTTGCTTGTGTGTGCAGAGAATTGTGATGCTGCATTAGTAATTTTGTTGTCTTATAGATGCGAAACAGCGATTTGAAAATGTTCCCAACATCCATGGTAGTATATCTCATTTTAAGTCATTTTTTTCCTTCATGTGTAGCCTGATTATTGTTGTTGTTGTTATTATTTTTTATCTTTCTACCCATGATAGGATTTAGTAAATGTTTTCCTTTTTTCTATGTGACTTTCTAGGCTGCTCCATGCACTCTGCACCGTTTCGTACAGAATATTTCATGCAAATTAAAAAAAAAGAAAAAAGAAAAAGGCTCGATGTTGAATCATGAACCTGCATGACAGACAGCTAGACAGCCAGCCGAGGAGAGGGAAATGTGTCATACTTTGTCCCCGCAGTGTAAATATTCCTGCAGCATTGCTGTTAAATGTCCAAACCCGCGATTGGGTTTGAAAGTGTGCGTGTGTTTTTAAAGAGAACAGCCTGAGTGGTGAACTTGACGGACAGGAAATAGAGTCCCCGCTCTCGCCCATGTTTTCTCTGCGCCTCTCCTCCTCTGGGAGCAACTTTGGTCTGAAGAGGAGGAGGAAGAGGGGGAAAAAAATCAGAAACACCCCTAAATGATGAGAGGGGAAAAAAAAACTGATTTACATTAATCCGGTTATGAAACGTTGAAAAGCAGCATGAACGTAATGGTATCATAATATCATAATAGTATTAGGGACATGGGTACAGTGATGCTGCATGACATGCAAATAGAATTTACCTGCAATGTTGTGAGTTATTATATTAATTTTAATACTGTAAAAGCATAATATCACAGCCATGGCCTGTGCATGCAAGTGACTTAACAGGAGTGTGCTACAAATAATTTTTGATGAGAAATATATCATAAAATATACATTTTTACAGGAATTAAATGCCAAAGAGAAGATAGTGTGCCTCATGACTGACTGAATGCACAGCTGAGGCCTGCTAGAAAATCTGTTGTTAGAGCCATGCAACCTACACATTAGTGTCTTGTAATACACTACCCTTTTTTTATTATTTGAGTGCAACATGTTGATAAGAACTTGTGCATCAACTCATACAAGTTAACCCCTGTTGCATTTTTTTTTAGATTTAATAACTTCATACACACATCAGAATATGTCTATAGAAAAATTGTAATTATAGAACACACACTCTCTTAGCTAAGTAGGTCTCTATTTACCATGTTTACAGCAGAACTATTGTTAAAGTCCATGTAGAAGAATAAGAAGTGCCCAAAGTCGACGGAAATCACGACTAATTTCCAATTTAGTGGCACACACAACATATTCAATTACTTTGGGAATAGTGGCATATATTTAAAAAGAAGCAAAATAAAAGGCTCAAATTATTTTACAAATTTTAATCCTGGACAATGGTTAACTGAATATTTTAAATATGATGTATTTGATTAAATAAAATAAAATAAAATAAAATAGACTCAGTAAATTGATTTATAATTCCAATGGCAAGGAGATGCTGCTGTGATACAAATATTCTTCATAGTGCTATTATATCTAGTAAGCCGGGTTATATTATAAATGGTATAAAAGGTTGTTTAGATAATCTATCATAGGTGCAAAATGCCGAAAAGTTCAATCAGAAGTTAAATTATGCACAAAAGTAGAAAAATAATTATTGTCCTTAAGAGATAATGCATTAATATTAAAGGCATTTTCCCTGGTTTAAAAACTGAACAGGTTTTTAAGATATGTCAATCAGCCCGTCTTAATTTGAAAAAAAAAATTCAAACAAAGGAGGGCAGCAGCAGCTAAAATGTGTCTCCGCTCATTATAAACGCAGACTGAACATTAATTTATTCAATCATCTGTCCTTACACGCCCACAAGCTGACACCAGCAGCTCAAAGCAGTTAGACTGGGATATCGATAGACCCGCTAATAGTCCGAGTTAGATCGTTTATCTCCCCAACGCTTGTTTTCCCTCTTTATTTGTCGCAGCTGTGAGAGAGATTGAATACACAAGCAAGCAACCTCCTTGTTCGGCAGACGCACTTCCAGGCCCAGCAAGCAGCATTAAGAACAGTGATGGATCAAGTGTTTGCTGCTTTGGGTCAGGGTTTAATTTATCAGAATTCTGGTTGATCTGAAATAAAACCAAAAGCCTCTCGAACGCCTTGACTTAGTACAGTCTTGTACCGTCTGTAAGTGTGAAGCTCGGAGTGTGTTTGCGGTCAACCATGCCAACACACGGGCCTGATGTTCATCCAGAGGGGTTATCTGTGAGGGTCAGATGTCTTACTTTGATAGCGTGAAGTGTTCTGTTGTAAAGCTTTACAGTAGCTCATCTCGAAGCACGGCAGGAATCAGTATTCAGCTTCAGTCTGTCTTAACGTGGGCTTGATTTTCCTGTAGATGTGTAGAGCAGATGGTGACTAGTTCTGATGATTATCTCATATGTTTAAGTCAGATATGAAGTAGATATGAAGTGTTTCATTCCAAAATAAGCCATCCAACATTTGGCAAAAGTGACACTTTAGAATGAAAACATATTTTTCACCAAGGTGAGCAGGCGATATAAGTGGTCCTGTTTATTTTTCACAGATGCTGAAAGAGGAATTTGATTTCTCTCCGCTTCACAAAAATAATCCCACAGTGTTTTGGAACACCAAGTCTTCATTTCAGTGTTTAGCTCTGAGCTGGGATTCTCTGATTAGGATTGAGTACAGACCTAAATGTGTCCATAGCATCAAGTGGAAAACAGAGAAGGGCCAAAACCTTGCATCAAGAGGTGCTGACCAAAGTCAGGAATCTGATTTCTTGACTAAAACTCCAAAATAAAAACTTGTACATTGAATTTTACTTTTAATATCAGTGCCTTTGATTCCCTTTTTAAATTAGGATATGACATCATTCTGTAGATGATTTTTTTTTGAATTATTTAATTATTTTACAGCAGCCAATCAAATTCAATCAGCACGATACCTAAGAACATTACATTTTCTTGTACCTCTCCTGAGGTTGACTGCAAATAATTTATTTTTTCTTATATAAAAGTGCATAAAGACAGGATTACTTTGAGTTCAATTTTCTTCTAAAATTTACACTTGCATTGGTTCTCTAAATTTCTATATATTTAAAAATGTTACTCTCTAAAGGACTTGAACGTTAGGGACTTGATCTGGACTTGGAGTGGGAACTTTGATTTAAGATACTGACTTCTGGACTCCCCTCTTCCCATGACTTGGAACTTTCATGTTTTGATGAAGGACTGGATTTGGGATTTGAGTTTTCACTTGTTGGACTTACGTCATCTTCTCATGATTAGGAACTTGCCTGTCTCAACATTGGACTGTTGACATGTTTGTTATGATGTGAAATATCTTCTCTGCAGGACTTGACCCTTACTCATCTTAACTCTGGGATCTTTTGACCTTGCATTGGGACTTGGCTTTTAACTTTTTGGAACATGACCTTTGACCCCTGGAACTTGCACATTTTGATGAAGGACTCGACCGTTTCACAAAATAATTCATAACATATTGCTCTTGATTTGGGATATGATTTTTCATTTGTTCGAGTGCACTTGCCCTGGACTTGCTTATCTTTTCATGGACAGGACTTAGACCTTGCTTGTCTTTACTTGGGACATGACTATGATTGCATCGATTTGGGTCTTTTGACTTACTGGAGCTTTACACTTGACCTTTGTTGGATTTAAACATGACCCTGGATTTACCTGCCAGTCTTGATGTAGGACTTGACTTGGACATGTTAGTCTTGATATGGGTGTTGTTGCCCATATGTGCACATGCGTGACCTGGGACTTGTTTGTCTTCCTTTGGGACTTGACTATAAACTTCTTGGCATTGTTTTGGATCTTGACATTTAACTTCCTTGACCTCTCCTGGGATATGACCCTGGACATGCCAGTTAGTTACAAAATTGTTTTGCAAAACTGCATCTTTTTTTTTTTCCTTAAAAAACAAAACAAACGGCATAAAATTCTTGGAAAGATGCATACATTGGTTTAATTTTCCTTACAGAGTTCCTGAAGTTCTTGTATAGCAATGAGAACTTCTGTGACAACTTTGGCTTCTTGAAAAACAAATGGGGCATTTCTCAAAGTCAAGTGTTTGGCACTTGAACAGATGTATCTTATTAGTATTAAATCAACCAATACCCAGCCCTAGTCACTTTGGACACTTTCCTTGGTAACATCCACACAAAGATTCCTTCCAAAACAAGACATCATGCATTTAAAAAACAGACAGTATACCCTATGGAGAAAAAAAAAGGGGGGGGGGGGAGTACATGTTACCATTAAATTTATGACATTTCCTAATAAGACCATAATGAGATGAGGGGCTGACAGCTCTCAGCCAAATGTTGGATTGGCGTTTTGGAATGAAGCTTTTCACATGTAGCTGCATTGACGTTTCTGTAGAGATGTGTCTTGCTGTGTGCAGTGTCAGTGCTCTCGGAGGTAATGTGCACTCTGTTTGTCTTGTAGATGTTTTCCCCTCCTGTTAGCAGTGGAAAGAACGGGCCAACCTCCCTGGGGAGCGGACATTTCTCCGGCTCAAGTACGTCAGCTTTCTCTTTTTTTTTTTCCTCCCTCACTTCATCATCTTCTTTTTCTTCTTTTTCTCCTTCTTCTTCTGCTCTTTTCCTCAGCCTCCTCCTCTCCTTCCTCTTACACCTGCTCACTGCTGCTTTGTTTGCTGTTTGAATTTTCTAATGTGGGTAACAGTGTTCAATACGTGGATATGCAGTTTTTGGTTTTTATGCTGTGTTGCATTGTGGGTTACTTTATATTTCAAGCGGACTTGAAAGCCAAATGAGATTTGGCTTGACGATTTAAGAACACAGCTTACTCATACTGTTTATATTTTTACATTACTCGTATTGTGTACAAACAATAACATTGCTTGGTTTGATTATATGACTTTGAATATGCTTAAATCTGTCTCATAATACTTTCCTACATTGTTTGTAGAAAAATGGTCTCCGTATTATGTATTTTATTTAAACAACAAAAAACAAATCACCCAGTTTCTTGAATCCGGGGACATTGTTGTTTTTAACATTATTCAAAAAAGAGGAAGTAGATAATTCTCGAGTTAACTCACAATATTGAATTTTATTTTTATTGCCACTTTATTTCACATTATATAAGTATATGAATGCCAATCTTGGATAAACGGTGATGTAATTTTTCTGACTTTTTTGGGAGGGGGGTCCCATCTGTGTTTCAGCTGCTCAGGTTCATTCCTGAAGGACACTTCCTGTTTTTCTGATTTGCCGCAGTCGTTCTTTCCTTCCTGTGTTGTGGAGATCAGTTTGCTTTGTTTTGCTACGCGCTGGTAGTGTTTGTGTCAAACAGGCACGGTTTGGCTTCGTCAGCGGTGGAATGTGGTGGCTCCAACTTGAAAATGTGGATATTGATAATGCTGATTCATAATGTTATGTCTGGCTTTTACCCTCAGTTCAGTCTGATAAAGTGTTTTAATTTATTCAATCAACCATTTATTCAGTTTTGTTAAGGAGTCTGTGTTTCATTCATTCAGCAGGTCAGTGATTAAATATGGCACACAGTCACTGAGTGCATCAGCGAGGTTGTAAACTGGTCAGAGAGTGAGTCAGTGAGTCTTTAGGTATGTCATGTTATTGATTCATTCATCCAGCCAGGCAGTTATATTCTTAGTAGGAAGTACTTCAGAGGGTTGGGTGTTATTTAAAAGTTTTTCACTCAGCCAGCGTCAGTTCAGTAATGGGCGACTGCCAATATATCCTCAGTGATGTGTCTGCTGTGCATCATCCCTAACCCCCTGCATATATACGCTCAGAGAAGTAAATACAAACCACCCATTACTTTTTTGTTTCAAACTGATCGATAGATACCTTTTAGCCACTACATGAAAAAGCATGAGGTGATAACACATGTTTATTAAATGATCAGTTGCACAACCTGCAACTTGTATGGTGCTAGTAACACCATGCTGACCTAGGGAATGTGGACTTCCACGCTGGCACATTTCCACACATTTACCTGTACTGAACATCAGCAATAAAATGCCAGGTCACCACAGCTACATTTTCTAGTGTGTAAACCTCTCCACTATTCCCCGACACAAGAAAAAAAAAAAAAAAAATGAAAGAAGCATCACCTTGTAGCACTGCTCAGCTATTGCACTTCTCACAGAGTTGAATTTTCAAGGAGTTAAACCAGAAAACTGGCGAAATTAAATTATGCAAAAAAATGTGTTAACTGAACCGTTAAGTTAGCAGTTGATTTATGTTAAAGTAGTGCTAAAGTTTTGATTAAGTAGTAATACTATTCTGTCATCCTAAAGTTAATTCAGCCTCTTAGATTTATGGTGATCCGCTGATGACAGGCAGTCAGGAATATCAACCTCCACGCAGAGACTCATTTATTTGGAACAATAATCAATCTCAGTCCTTCCACAAAGGTTTATTAGATGCTTCAAAGCAGCGTATGCCATGTATCTTAGAGCTCAGCATTACTAAAAGAAGACAACAGTAAAACTGCTGGACCAACATGGCCTACTTTAATTTAGTATATTCGTTTAAATGTTCCCATGCTAATAACTCTGGACTTGATCGACTGTCAACTTGACTTTAGTGAGGTGCAGAATTAAAAGAGAAAATTGAAAAAGCAAAATATTGTGTATTCTGTCCCAGTTTGCCAGTTTTACCACTGTTACATATGACTTCTGACATTGTGTTAGCTGTAGGTTGGGTCTTTTGGGGGGCATGGCCACAGTTAGCCAGCTTAGCGTTTTAAGTTAGAGATTACAGTGTAAGTATAGTCCAGAGAATGTAAACACCGTGACGTCATAGTCATCATTAGCTGATACTTGTTCAGCGGCATGTCAGTTTTCAATCATTTATTGAATTTGTCACTTGGTTCTTATTATATCTGTTTTGTTTTTTGTTTTTTTGTATTCAGGATTGCTTGTTTGTTTGTTTGTTTTTTCATATGTATGGGAAGAATGGAGCTGGAGATTATTGGATTGGATCCTTTCTGAGCTGAGCATGAAGTCAAAGTTCTTGATTTACTGGCAATCTACATTGGTACCCCACCCATTGTATGAAAAGTGCACTTTTTTCAAAGTGTGTCTGGGATGACCCTTAGAGATACGGACATCTGAGCAGGATGCCTCCTGGGCTCCTAGGTGAGATGTTTCAGGTACGTCCAACCATGAGGAGACCCTGGGCCTGATCTGTCGCAGGAATACCTCGGTGTACCACCAGAAGAGGAGGAGGTGATCAGGTCCAAAGGAGGTCTGGCTATCTTTGCGTGGACTGTTGCCCTCTTGTGCAGCTCCTTCTGCTAATGAAAAGTAGAAAGATAGATAGATAGATAGATAGATAGATAGATAGATAGATAGATGGACGGGTGGTCTTAATGTATCCAAGATATATTCAGAAAGGGCTGAAATCCACTTATTGAAATTGCCTCCTGGGGATATCTAAGACCCATTCTGGCCAGATCTAAGACTGAAAGCAGATTAGGGCAATAAACTTGTACTGTAGCTGTTTTCCATGAAAATGATTCATCCATTCATTTCTGCTCCTTTGTGGTTAGCCATTACCCTGTTAAATTAGCAAAGCTATTATTTTTGTTACCAGACATCTTCTTCAGCATTACTCTTCTTCTAGCAGTTTTGAAACAGCTTCAGCCTTTGGAATGGTTGAGACTTTTGATCACATAGGCTGACATGCACATATGTAAAAACATATTTGCTCCATGATTTTATCAGTTATCTTCATGAAAAATAATGTTACTGAGGTGCTGTAATTAATTGTAATAGTATCCTTGGAAGTGCCTGCTATGCTTGTGTTCTGGTTCAGCCAATGAAGTGAAAGGATGAAAAAAGAAGGCAGATGCTGTCCTGTGCATCTTATACTGTATGTTGATAACATTTGCAATGGGTACGTAAAACAAATTTGCATTACTCAGTGAGGTGCATTCATGTTAATAAGCACACGCTCTCCACCTTTTGCCACCTCTGTGGTTGGATGCATCGTTCTTTGCTTTGAGATCACATTGTATGTTTGGGCGCATTTTCCTCATGTGTTTCACAGGATTGCATTGCGGTATGTCTGGTGTATGTTCGGCAGCATCTGCAGTGTTTATTAATCAGCCTTCAGCCACCATACCAGTAGGATACTTTCTGTTTAAAGTGTTTTCTGGAAGGTCTTCACAGAAAACAGCCGGGTCCTTTCTGTTGCTCCCGCTCCTGTTATTTGCCTCTAAACGGCGTTCGGAAGCCATTTTGTTAGTTGGCTGGAATACAGAGAGATGGCGAGGCATCTTCTTTGTTTACTGCTTCGTTGTGTGGTTGTTGTTGTTTGTGCTCGGCGGTTTCGGTGATGTTGTTTGCTCCTGTGCCGTGCATACAAATGCGAGGGAGGACGACAAATGTTACGATTTTTGGCAAAAGAAAAAAAAAGTGAATTTGTAGCGTTTTTTAGGCCTTAGGTTTGCTGCCTCAAAGTGTATCTTCATGTTAGGATTGTTGTTGTTTTTTTTCTTTTTCTTTTGATACAGGAACACACCGTGGAGTCACACGCGCATACGCTTACCCTACTATACAAATCACACTGTGTTTCCCATACACACACATCTAAATATCCTCGTGTACACACACGTGCGCGCGCGCTCTGCTCACCCCTGCTGTGGCTTTCTGCAGGCCTCGGCATTTTGATGAGCCTGGTGCTGTTTGTGAATGCAGCTAATTAGAACTCTATAGACCTACACAACCATGAGAGGAGCGGTTTCCAAAGGCTGGGTTGAGGCCATAGGCTGGGACGTGCTGACATGGAATGGGGTCCATTCACTGTAGACTGACAGGAGTTACTCTGCTTTGAATGATGCACTTTCATACATTTGAAATTTTGTGTTCATGCTCAGTCCTGTAAAGTATTTACTTCTGTTTATAAATGCATACCTTAAGCTGTTTATACTCTTCCAGTTAAAGTCACATAAATGATGATTTCAAACTTTGATCATACAAATTCTTGATGTTTCATAAAAAGAGAACTTTGTGTTTCTTCACACAGCCAGTAAGTAGGCCTACCTAAAGTTAGACTTTAGGAAATTAAGATTTCTATTAGCTAATTTTCAATCAGTTTCTTTACTTCTCTGCCATAAAAAATTGATGGGACATTGTTGTCACCCTGCTGGGTCAAAGGTCAGGGGACGTGGACACCTAAGTTTGTGAATGCATCAATGTCAAATTGGTGCCATAGGTGCATCTACTAAGAATCTCAGATGAGTTCAAATCTCAGTAATCTCCACCTCGCAGTCAGGGGTCAGGTCACGTTTTCTGAAAATCGGGAAAAACATGACTTAAAAGGCCAGTAGTATGACTCAGAGCTAGGGCTGCTCAATTAATCGAATTTTAATCACGATTACGATCTGGGCTTTCAACGATCATTAAAAATGACTGAGCCGATTATTAGCCCCTCCCTCATTTATCCGCAACACCTTAAAGGCCGGTCCGTGAAAATATTGTCGGGCATAAACCGGTCCGTGGCGCAAAAAAGGTTGGAG